AGAACCATGTTTTTAACCACCTTTGTCTCATGTTCTGTGCAAGGGTATCACTTTCTATTTTACTTCTAATAGGGTAAAGATACTATTTCTATTTAGAAACACAAGGAAAAGAGACCTCCTCAGCTTAGTTATATTATTTTTATTAAGTCTCTCTTTTACATTATGTCAGAGTTCATCTCTGAATCTCATTTGCCTGTTCCGAGGATTCTGTCTCACACCTGGGGAAAATCCCTGAGCCATCCTCACGTGCACCACTGACATTTAGGTTGACTCACCTGGAATTTCATGCTTTAACATTCTCTGCAATTTTACTTGCTTCAAATATTCTCACTTTTGTCCTTAGAAAAGACCTCTCCAGCAGAGCTTCAACTCCAAAATGCCCTGCTACCTCAATATCTAAAATCAGCTCCAAAATGTGTCAGTGCTCCAAATGATTCCCACCTATCATTACGAGCTAGTGAAAGTCTTTCCTCCTCCTGAAACAGGAGCTTCTTGCACTATTCTTAATTGAAATGCTGTTAAAGGTCTACAGGCTGGGGAGACTCCCAAACTGGTTCGTCCTCTTTGGAGTTTGAGAAAGATTTCAAGACACTCACAGGCATGGTTTACGATGATGAATGCAGAGATATTTTTCCACCACCGAAGTAAACATGCACAGCAAACCAGTATAACAGGTTGGCGATTACGGTACTGTTGCCCTCCAGCTGCAACTTAGAAGCACAGACATCAAGGCACCTTCCTGTCTAGTTTTTTTTTCCTCCCCCTTTTACTAGCCAAATAAAATAAGTATACTTCCTTTAAAAAATGACTATATTATGAGAAACATTCAATGAACGTGCCCAGGGACTTTCAAGCCAACTTCCCTGGTTGTGATGAAAGTTAAGTAAATGTATTAAAAGTCAATGAAACTTTTATGGATTCAAGAGAAAACCCAACCCAGATGGACCAGGTATCGATAACCTGACTGAATACTGGGCAATTTTTTCCAGGCCGTAAGTGGAGAAACTGAAAGATGTTAATAGGGAAACCATTTATGAGCCTTAGTTCCCTTTTTGAAATAGAAAACTAAAGGCCTACAGAAAATAATGTGACAAAATTCTCTATAAAATTGTGGGTTTTGGACAGTTAGGGTGGAGACCTGGCAACAGTTTCTGGGGAATCAAGGACAACTTCCTTCATAGGATCTTTGCTACTGTTCGAAGTAGAAATATTGGACTCAAAGCCCTCTAAGTTCCCTGCTCCCTTGGAAGTTTTAATAATCTACAGACTTTTTTTTTTCCTGATTCTGATAACCAGCTTCTCCTTCATATGTTAGCAAAGAGTTCTCTCTTCTTTGCTGACTGCTGTCTAACGCTGGCCTTGAATTCCACAAGGTATGGACAACTTGTTTGTACTTAGAAACATTTTCCTCTGAGCTCCTAGTTTTTTGTTGACATTAGTAGATTCCTAGATCTTAAGAACCAAGAAGCACTGAGGGAGAAAGGAGGGCTATAATTAGAAGATGCTCAAACAATTCCAAGCAGATGACAGTGGGCAGCCTAAGTGCCAAGGCTGTGCTGAGCAGCCCCAGGCAGACCCCCGCTCAAGGAAATCTCTCACAGAATTGCTCTGGCATTGAACTCAGGGATACCGTGTATTCACATAATTCCAAGGATGAATTTATATATTATATCCTTTATGAAGAGGCAAGTGACCTTGGAAATGCTGTAACCAAGGGAGAGGAAAAAACATAAAATGGAAAAAGCTCACCAAGGATTGAGTTGCTGAGGTGGGAGGGACTCAGGGGATGTAGAGATTAGCTGGCAGGTTCTTTCCTTTTTAGGGATTCTAACTAGAATCTGCTCTACTAGCTAAAAGGTTTGAGAGAAGTAGGAAAAAAAGTAAGGGGGACTTACCTGTCCAAGGGTAGCTTGTGGAGAAACCTTAGCCTAAGGCATTTTCCAGGTAGCTGGTCGTCTCGGAGGACATTGTAACCGTCCTCTCATCCCAGCCATGGCCTTTCACTACTGCCACAGACTGACCAAGTGCCACTCAGTGGTGCATGTGGGTCCTCGGCTACCGTGCAAAGCAATGATGCTTCCTTTTCTCAGCAAATAACAATGTTCAAAAAGCACTTGTTTCTACTTTTTTGCCATGTTATATATACATTTTATTTATATTTTCAAAAATCAGACAGAAAATTCTAGCATTCTCTCTTACCCTAGATAATTCCATGTTGTGAATCCTGAGAATAGTATAAACCTTTATGTAGGCAATTGTTACATAATTCTCTGCGGGGTTACTTTTCTTTGGACTGAAAGGGAGAGATGTTGTCTATGTTTGAAAAGATAATTGAGATCTGTTCACAGTAAGCTGAAGATAACTTTTATATTCATTTAGAAAAAAAGAAGTTCCCAATGCTATTGGAAATATTAAATGGTGATAGATTATGGGACCCACTAACCAGGGCAAATTCAACCCACTTCTGGGGTATAAAAACAGGCCAGAAGCCCACAGGAAGTAGCATTAACATAAATAATCTTTGACAGTGTCTGTGGCCAGCCCTCCTGGTTCTGACTAGAGATAGTCCTATGAATCTAGACAATCTAGACACATGGCTTTAGAAAACCATTATTCAAAGCACATGGCAGAGTTTTAATAATAATCTACTGCCGTTTATTATCTTCATAGCCAAAACACTTAAATCATCTATATGTTTACTGTACAAAACATAGTATTTAAATAGTCATTTCTATTAGAGAACATTCATTTATAAGTAGAGCTGATAATAAGTAGTATTATTTTAGAGAACTTCGAATCTTTTCATAAGTGCTGTTAAGTCAACGTAAAATTACCTCTTACTTTCACACCTAAGAGTAACCTGCAAATTATCTTCCTAGCACTTTCATTTATAATTTAAAATAAATCCAGAAATAACTAAAAACCAACAACCAAAGTACCTTTGCTTCTCATTAACTCTCACCTCATTAACAAGTTCACTGAATAATCTTAAGGCAAATACAACTGAAATGGAAACATTTCAATATTCCAAGAAGATATATCTGAAAATTTTGGAGATCTACCAAGGATATATTTATCTTAGATAAGATCAGGAGAGAACCCATTTCTTATTGAAAAGTTTTCATAAAATGCACAGAGGAAAACATCCTGGGGTAGAACTGATCTCACAAGCATTTCCCAACTACAGAAGATTTATAGATCCAAGCTCACCATTTTCTAACTGAAACCATGACACTCAAATTATTTACTATAGTTTTGTTTTAAACTGTGTGCATTTTCTTATATATATATAGATTGTGAATTCTATAATACTTGTGTGCGGATGTGTGTATGTGTGTGCAGATTTTTCATATATATATATATATATATATATATATATATATATATATATAGTGTTACCCTTTTATATTGGGATATAGTACCAGAAATGTAACATATAGAGAAGCGCCAGAGAAAAACAAAAACAAAAAATCTATACATACACTAAGTCTATAAAATAAGAAATAAATATTACCCACGATTCTGACACAAAAAGGGATGATAAAGAGGGAAGGCAGAGGCCTGGTTATTTCTTAGTTTATTTCACTTCCTTGAATGCTGGCTCATGACACACCGCACAGTTCTAGGACAGGCTGTGCAGGTGGTTGCCAAGTAGTCATCTACAGTTTCTACAAAATCATTATTATATGAACTCTAACAACATATATATTTTTAGAGGACAGCTATCATGGACATAATTTAGTGAGATACAAGCAATAACCACAGGCATAATATTATTTTGTACATAAAACACAAAAATATATAATATTATGGAAATATGCTAAACAAGCTTTTTATCTTTGTTGTTTTTCTTTAATGGAATATCCTAAATGACTTTTTTAGTAATCTTTAAATTACAAATGATTTCTAAAGCATTTTATGCAGTATTTCAAAAAACATTTTTGGTAAACAAACAGAAATAAAAAAATAAGATTCTGAGATTCTTAAGCATGTTAAGTGGAGAAATAAAGAAAATAAAGAAAAAACACGCTTTCTGGAAGATAATTTAACTCTATAAATTAGATGCTATCCTTTTATGACTAGGTATATCTATGATCATCTTATTGTTGTTCTGACATGTGTTATATTTCACACATATAGTTTTATATGTTTGATTATATGTATTAAAAGAAAAACTGTGTGGTTTGGAAATTTTCTTGGTGGTAGCTTCACAAGAACATAACTGAACAAAAATGGCATTATAAGTAGATTTTTAAAAAAATCTTGATTAAAATATTACTTGTAAAGGTGGTAAATAATTCATAAGAAAGTAGACTACTGAAAATCATGGCACACATAAACATCAGCCCCATTTTAAAAAATGTTTTTTCTAAGAAAGAAGTTCTCTTACTCAAAAAAGTGAAAAGTGTGAGCAACCTTGTACCCGTGTCTATCAACAAACCCAACCACAGAAGCTAAATCAAGCCAACATCAGCAAAGCCAGTCCCTTCAAAGGACAGAGGCATCTGATTAAAGAAGACATGTAAAATAAACCGCTGTCCCCAATTGATATGCTCTCTTCTGAGATCCTGTTTTCCACTTAAAAAAATAGTTATATTAATTACAAGGACACTTAGCTGATAAGTGCCACAGATGGCAAAACATAATTACAAATAAAAATTGCAGAAGTAGACACAAAAATCAATGTTCTGTCAATGTTGGAGAAAGTCTAACATAAAACATGCACCACAAGTTGGCTGCACCATTTCTCCACCACTGCACTACGGAGTAAGCACAAGGCTCTCCCCGTGCTCCACAAATCTGTCTGTCTGTGCTGGCCAAGTTGCTGAGCACAACAGAGAGCCAGTTTTCTTCTGAAACAATTCCCACCTTTTCTTCCTACCTTCACAGCACACCTTGAAACTCCGTGGGCTAACTACACACACACACACACACACCCCCTGTAACCAACACTGCTTAAATTTCTTTTTGCAAACATTTCCGAGACTGTTGGCACTTACCTTGCAAGGATGTGTTAGGTAAACTTGCTTCATTCTCTCCCATCTTATTATTTCTTTTTAAAGGGCGCCAAACAGTTTCAAGTTGTTTCAGTTACCCTGCTAGAGTTGTGACCTTCTGACTTTCTACTGTAGTATTGTAACAGAATACTACCTGCTTTCTTCTGTGAATAATTACCATTCTGCTTCCTGAGTTACCTGGGCTTGCAGGACCTGTTTTACTATGAAGTGAGATCACATCCTTTGATCCAATGTACTGCTATTAATGTGTGCTTCACAAAACGTGGCTTTGTTTCAGTTTTAATATTAACTTTTAATTCCCTACTTTCACTTTAGTCCCAAAACAGATTGACATTTTTCCCCCAGAAAGAGTGTTGATACTACCAGCACTAAAAGATACAGAGCCAGAGTTTTGTTTGTTTGTTCAGTGTTTCCATTGTGTTTCTCTTATAGAAATAAAATAAAATTTAAAGTGAACTTTGCAATGTCCATTTTTAAAACTACAGGGAGCTAAGGAAGAGTATGGAAATCGGTTTTGTGCAGTGGTGAAAAGAAGAAAATGGCTCTCCAATATCCCCAATACTAGCTGTATAAGTATAAGTGAGGAATGCTTCTTCTCTGAGATTCAGCTTCCTCAACTATACGATGGAGTTAAATATCTATTTTAGAGGACTAGTATAAAAATGGAGAGTAATAATGTATGACTGTGCTAAACATTGTGAATGGCAGATAACAAATAAACAAGCATAATTTTTTCCTCCTTCTCCTTGTCTCCCCTTCTCTTCTTCCTTTTCCTCTTTCACCTTCTTCCTTGTCTCCCCCCAGCCCCGCCCCTGTCCTTCTTCTCCTCTGACCAGTGGAAAGAATGCCAGAATAGAGCACTGATGTCACTGTGCTCTGACATCAGTTGTATTACTTATTAACACAGAGACCTGAAAGAAATGACTCAATGCAATCTTGGCTCGCCTCAAGGTCCTCATTTGTAAAAGGATACCAATAGCTGCATTGCCTTTTTAATAGGTATATAGTGAATGTAACTGAAATTGTTGTGCCTCAAAGAAAAATAATCTCTAGCAAAGATGAAAAAGTGGAGATTTATCACTTTTCATTTGTAAATGAGAAAGTAGATTGCAAAAATAAGTCAGTTTATTTAAACTCTGTCTCCCACTGAACATCTAAAACAAAAAAAAAATCTCTGCTTTTGCCCTCTAGAATTCCTTAACTTTTAGATTTGGTCAGGTTAGTTTTAAAAAATCCAAGGCTCAAATGTTTCCTTTTTGAAATAGTTCTCTCATTTTCAATTTGTAAAACAGCTGCATATCTTATTTGCTAGCTTATGAATGAAAAATTGATTACACAAATTATACAAACAATAGAGATGGCAAACAGCCAAACAAGTTTTCTCAAAAGCATTAGAAATAAAAACAAACATGACATTTTAAAAATGTCATCACAGTTAATTTAGAGTTCTCTCTTTCATTACCTCTCTGTGTCTCAGTTTCCCCATCTGGACCATTTACTCTTTAAGGCCCAATGTATTATTTCATTGCCACAAATCTCTGATTTAAAATTCTGTTTGTGGTTCATTTCCAAATAGAGTACCACTTTGCCTAGTACGATTGCATAATGTAACATATATACAAAGGTAACCTGAAATTGAATGTTTGCCAATAAAACACTATAATCATCATATTCTAACTCCCCCATAGTAAGAGAAACACACATATCAATCCTCACTCTTTATAACAAACTTGGAAATGTATTTACATATCTGCCCTAGGCACATAACATTAGAAAGTAACACAACACATAAAAGCTCCCATCATCTAGCGGCTGAATCATGGCGTGTAGGCAGTCATTATGAAAGTGGAATAGAGGGTCCTATTTCTGAGCCAAAGAAAAATGTAAAAATATAAGCACTGGAAACTTCAAAATGTTTTTATTGTTGCACAGGACATACATTCAGTTATACTGAAACAGTTTCAAGCCTAATGAAATATCAGGGACACACATTCTCTTCCCCCTTTTCTTCTCTCTCTTTTTCTTCCCTCTCTTCCTCACCCCTCCTCTCTCCTTCTCCCTCGCTCTGGCCTCAATGCCAGAAATAAAAAGCTGCTCCCTTAATCACCTGTCCTTTGCCTCATTCGTATGCAGGGATTTTTCTTGAACCCAAATTTGGTATAAGCCTTGAAGGGGTCTAGAACAAGTCACCCCAAAATATGCTTTTGTCGTCGTATGCAGATTGTTTTGCAGTGAAGGCAACTTCAGTTGTAGAATCAGGAGAAATTCCTGTCCCCCACCCTTAACTGCCTAGAAGAATTTGAATTAGAGGCCTTGCCCTAAGAGATTATCAGTGATAACCTTTCTGACCCACTTACAGGGCAGAGCAAACTTTTATTTACTAAACATCTGCTCTTGTTATCATCCTGCAATGACACTTAGAAGCTCCGAAGGGGCATTACCTCATCCCTAGCTCAGAATTTCTCATATAACTAATCCACCTTTCTATCTGTGAACCTCTCCTGCATGAGGAGTTTCTGACTGTCTCATGTATGTGGAGTTGCCATACATACGTTTGCATTAAATTTGATTATTTTCTCTTGCTGATCTGTCTCATATCTATTTCATTATTAGACAAGAGGAACCTTAAGAGTGTCGGAAAGTTTCTTCCTCCACTCATAGTCTCTTCTATGTACTTTCCAGACATTCCTTATCAACTTAAAATCTGCCCTTTCCCCAGGGCCGTTATCACATTGTACTGCATTAATTAGTCAATATTTCTGTCCTTGCCATCTGTTATGACTATTTTTGTGTGCATCACTATATCTCTAGCACCTAGCACAGTTACTACTACAGACTATGCCTTCAACAAATTTTGTAAAGAATAAATTAAAGAATCTCAAAAAAAAAAAAAAAGTGAGGAGGGGCTATGGATTTGCAAAGAACATATTCCAGGAGGGAAAAATGACAAATCAAAGTTTAAAAGTTTATCTTCAGACACAAATAATTAAAAGCTACAAGGATAAAGGGGTGAGAAAAATTATAAAAATTTTCAAAAAAAGACTCAAAGACAGAAGTAAACGAAAGAGAAACAAGATAGTTTAAAACACACTGATAAAAAGAAAACCAAGGCCTAAAATGGAGCCACTTGGGTTAAAGCCCTCTATACCAGTTTTTAATATCTTACCTAGTTGCTGTTTCATTCTCTCCCAGAAAGATAATCTTAATCCATCAGTCTAGGATTTTCTGGTCAACACCAATGAGGTAATTTATCCTATTTGTTCTATCTCTCATAGAAAGAAGCAAACTGCATGATAAATAAAAATAAAAATAAAATAAAATAAATATACCTTGTTTTTCTTCCAGAACCACCTCTAAAAAACAGATGTTCTGGTCTAAAAATAATCCTTTATTTATTTGTTTGTTTACTTATTTATTTATTAGCTCCCTTACCCCAACCTTTTTCCTACAAAAACTTCTCATTTTGCATAGCCCCTCAAGAGCACTTCTAGTTGCTAGATAGGATTCCAGCCCCATTCATGATTCACTTAGTAAAGCTAATTAGATCTTCAGATTTTCTTGGTTGAATTTTGTTTTTAAGCCAGACACACAAACACACACACACACACACACACACATACACACAAATGTCGTGGGTGGCATTAGGCAGAATAACTTCACTGAATGGTGAAAAGGAAACAACATAATTATTAAAATTATCAGAATTTTCTGATTCTTAGGAAGTTTATGAGACTGAATGTGTTTCTAATGCATTCTGAAACTTTGCTATAAACTTATTGAGCACATTTTTTAAACAACTTAGATAACATAACATTAAATATTCATAATAGAAAATGTTTAACTACCTCACCTATTTGTATATTCACCATCTTATTTCCAAAGCAAACTTCAGAGAGAGAGTGGGCAAAGAAGGATGTTACAAATGCCGTCTCTTATCACTCAGTTCTACCTAAACTACACTGGACAAAGAAACCAATGTTGCAGTTTAATCTTGTGAGTCGTAATTAAAATGTTTAGTTCTGATTTTCAAGAGAAGATACATGTGAAAACTTGGAAAAAAGAAAACGGTTGTTTGAAGTTCCAAATGTTGGTATTCTGTGTTATGGAACATGGGATGCTGGGTATTTAAAATGTTTCAATATGATGTCTGTCTGGAAAAGTCCAGCCATTATTAATATAATGAAAATGGTTTGCATGACATCAATGTAACCTGGCAGCCAAGGAGAGTGGACTGGAAGGTATTTGTGTCAACAGTGATGACTTTACTGTACTAGTCAATGGGGGTGGTAGACACTGTTGAATGAGCATGTGTACTGTATAGCTGTTGCATTCAAAATGACTGAGCAAGTAGAGCAATGAATCTGCATCAATTTTATGTTAAGCATGAACATTCCTCTGCAGAAACTATTCAGATGATTCAGAAGGCTGCAGCTGTGGGCAACTGGTAATTGGCAGCTGTATCACAACAATGTACCCACTCATGCATCACAACTTGTACAGAGCTTTTTGGTGAAACATCAAACCACTCAGGTGGCTCAGACTCCCTACCGCCCAGATTTGGTGCCCTGCAACTTCTGGCTTTTCCTAAAATTTAAATCACCTTTGAGAGGGAAGAGATTTCAGACAAGATGCACTAAAATAGGATGGGGCAGCTGATGGCTATTACAACAAAGGATTTTACAGTGTTTTGAACAGTGAAAGAGATGTGAGAACTGTGTGAGGTCCCAAGGTGCCTATTTTTAAGGGGACTGAGGCATCATTGTCCTATGTAGGATGCTTCTCGTATCTTGCATCTTCTTCAATAAATGTTTCCATTTTTCAGTATCTGGCTGGATACATTCTGGACAGAAGTCATACATCTAATTAAAAATGACACAAACTTGGTACTGATGTTCTTGATGAAAAATATAACATGAGGAGAAAAACAATTTAGTCAAAATCATAGCTATCCACAGAGAGAAAAGGACTGGAACTCTCAAAACTGTAACTCTGCCAAGCCTTATTGGAAGGAAAGTCTGTGCTCAGCAACCCGGATGGATCTTTGTGATTGCAGTTCCAAGAATTAGGTGGATGTGCTTGAAGGCTATTTGAGCACTTGAGAGCCAGCAGATTGGTTCTCTTTACCTCTCCTAACTGCCTAAAAGTAGAAAACAAATGTCCCCTTTT